CTGTTCTGAGAGGATTCTGCTAGGCATATCTCATCCTGTCTTGATCAGATTCATTTAAAGGTTAATGTCTTTCTTCCTGTTGGGGACCCTCTTTCCTGATAGGACCTGAATCTTATTCCTCCATCCCTGATGAGACAAATTTCTCATCTATTTCTGTTGGCAACTACCTGTGTTCAGAAGATTTAGCAGATAGAAGAATAGCACTAATACTAATAAAATTGTGAAAGAATAAGGAGGAAAAAAAAATCAGTAGTCTGTTTTGTTCATGCTTGGTTTAAGCTGACTGTAAGGCACCCTGGAAAAAGACAGAGGCAAATTACATCCCTGAATTTATTTGCAAGTATAAGAGTTTGCAAGTTCAGACCCTGCAGCAAAACTCACTCACTCACTCAATACTGCCCCCAAGTCTCTTTTTTCATCCATACTTTATGTATATAAATTTAGTGGCCTGAATGTTTTTTCTTAGGTATTAAAGTTTTTTTGAAAGACTTTATGGGCTTTATTTTGTGTTGATCAGCACACGTTATTCTGTGTGCTTGCTTGTGATTATCACTTGAAATAATGAAAATTTTTAAAAAATAAATTAAAAATTCTCTGAAGTGAAGGCAGAATGGATACCATCCTGAAATGCTGAAGGTGTTCTGAAATCCACTATTTGGTGTATAAATATTTACACTAGGTGAAGATGCTTGTTGCAATTAACTATGATGGTGGTTTTGGGGATTTTTTTTTTGTGTATGTGTATCTCATAGAATCATAGACTGGTTTGGGTTGGAAGGGACCTTGAAGTTCATCCAGTTCCAACCCCCCTGCCATCAGCAGGGACACCTTCCACTAGACCAGGTTGCTCAAAGCCTCATCCAACCTGGCCTTGAACACTTCCAGGAAGGGGCATCCACAGATGATACAGAAATTCTGTACCTGTTCTGAACACCAGAAAAGGCTCGGGAAGTCTTGATGGCTTCTTGTATCTGCTGACTTGCATCTGCTGTGCCTGGTCTATCCTAGACTTGGACTTAAATTTACAGGCCAGCGTTTGGTTTTGAATCTCTTCTCAATTAGAAATGGTAACCTACTCTGGAGAACATGCTATGAACATGAACATTTGTTTTGGGGAAGAAAAACTGCACGATGAACAGTAGGTTTAGAATAAAAGGTTCCCTTTTTGTTTTGTTTACAAACAATGAGGAATTTGGATTTGGTGGTGAATAATTTTCAGTGAAGAAATATGACTGCTAAAAGCAAGGTAATAATATGTCTGTAGAGCACTTTGAAGATGAAAAGCTCTATATACTGTAAACATTATTACTAGTATAGCTTAATCTGTGTGGAATAATTAATCTAGCATAAGCTAAATGTAGATTTTTAAATGTAGAATACAGTATTTCAGAAATTCTAATGCACCCATATATTTATTTTCACATTGTAACATAAGAAATTCATCTTCTTATTTTTTTAATGTCTATGTGTCTCAATGATTTACTTTGTTATTACTTTAAAAACGTAGAGGCAGTCCTAATCCAGAACAACCTGTCAGAAATGTGGAACATCTCGACTGGCAGGAAAAATAGGTGTTTTTTTTAAAGGTGGTATTAAAAATACTGTGCGATGAGCAATAGGTGCCTGTCAGATATGGAGATGTTTGGGGGGCAGTTGGCCTTCTCTAGGCTTGTACTGTGGCTTTGGAGAAGACTTGACTGAATTTAGTTACAGAGCCTCTTGCAGGTGCCAGATTGTGCTGGGAAGTGAACACCTGCCAGGCTGCTCCAGATAACTCAGCAGCTCAGAGGCATTTTCCCAGGCTCCCAGATGAATGGTCCGTAATAGCCGTGGGAGAGGGCTTCCCACTGCTCCACGCTGCACCACAGCCTCTTCTTGGCAGCCTTCTGGAAGCACAAGTCAGCTTGGCTGTGACTCCTTTGGAAAACAAGTGTTGCTGGATAGTCTTACAGTCAAGAGTCCGTGTCTGATACTTCCTCTCGGTGTCGTGGGACTATGAAATGTAACAGCAGCACTTGCTGGTGCACATTTTAGCTGAAACTGAACTGTGACTTTTCTAGAACCACTTTTATTCAGGCACATTTTGGGTTTCAGGGTCTGTTTATTTTGTTGGGTTTGGGGTTTTATTGTTAGTTTGGTGGTTTTTTGTTTTCTAGTTTGTTTTTGGAACCTGGATCTGGTGATTTAGGTGCATAGTTGTGAGGTAAAAAATCCCCAAACTCCAGATTCACTAACAACAATTTTATTTCTGCTTCTGTGTTGGTAATCTACAAATGGAGCTTTGTCTGTGTTGCATGATGAAGAGGAAATTGAAGATTGAGCCGAGTGAGTTTGCTGAGCCTAAGATCAAGCACTAAGATCTTTCTAATTTCAGTAATTTCACTAAGATCAGTGAAATTTCTCTTTATATTACTGGCTGCAAAACAGTGTTTGCAGCTCAAGGGTAAAACTTCTATGCTGTGCTTAAAAGGAGTTAATTCTGGGTCATTTGGTATATATCATTTGATCCATCCTTCCAGATCTGAACAGCAGCTTTTGGTCCTTGCTTGAGTGTACACTGGCCATCTTCCTTGGAGCACAATCCACAGCTTGCCCAAAGCCAACATCAGTGTATGTAGTATATAAACAGCATCGATGGTGGACAAGTCTGGAGTAGTGGATGGTGGACAAGTCTGGACAAGTCATGCTGAGTAATTGTGTAGAAAGTTTAAAAAGCTGCAAGGGGCATGAGGTTGTCAGATAAGGTTTTCTTGCAAGGCTTATTTTATAGTTTCTTATTTCATGAAGCAGAATTTTTAATTTGATAATATTTCTCTCGAAGGAAGCAGAAATAGGTTATCACATTTTTAATAGTTCTACAGTAACTCGGGAAACTCTAAAATTAGGGAAGTTTTTCAAACTCTCTCTGACTATGGATTAGATCAGATGTCACATACAAGAGGGTTTCAAAACATTTGATGAGCATAGCTGTGTGATACTTTCAAAATATGGGTAGCTTGAATGTAAGGCATCTGAAATTTTTCTCCCAGTTAGCGATAAGTAACAGCAAATCATCTGTTCAGGCATTTTCAGCAAAGCCAAGTAGGAAATAGTAATGGGAACTAAAATTCTTTTCTATTTTTAGTTCTATTGTTAGCCCCTCTAGGTTGAGACGGGTTCAGGTGCAACTCCTTGTGAAGGCTTTATAAGACTTTCAGACTTGAGACAACACTGCAAAAATAGTATAGAGGTGTCTTGATCATCTCTTAGTTATTTATTTTGTTAGATTTGAGGTAGGTGTTCTGTTGCAGAGAACAGTAGCTAGCTGAATCATGGGCCTTTAAGAGGAATTTGAAACTTTGTTCAGGCCATTAGTCAATCAAATTTATTTAAATACTTAACATTTGAAATATCCCAGACAAACAGAGGTGGAAAGACTCTTTTAATATTTACTCTCTGATTGAAGATTTGTTTGCATAGTCATACTTTTAGGAATGTTACATTTTCAGTGTTACGGAGGTCACATGGAAGATGCTATTATCACACTAATAAATTATTTATATTCAGGGAAAAATCCTTGATTTGGCTAACCCTACTAACAATGCCAAAGAATTGTGAATGCCAAACTGGAAATAGCTAAAAGTAATTTTCTTTAATTGTGCTCGTAAAAATACAGTTAATAAAGCTGGTGGATTACATCCAAATTTTTCCTTAGCACTCATCATTTTTAAGGGATGGTTCAACTTGTCACATCTTGACTTGATCTCAAAAGGGAAGTGAAATTTTTAGGTATCTTCCTGAGGGGAAGGAAAAAAGATGGTTGATAAATTTCAAAGGGATTAATTATGATCAATAACTGCAGTTCTTAATGAGAGGTGATGCTGAACAGCACTTGATGGAGAGCTCCAGGAGATCTTGTACAAGTAGGAGAGTTGTAAAATGTACAGAAGAGGACGTGCATTTTGGGGCTTATACTTAGAAATAGGGCATGCCTTGGCATTTACTCAGTAGAGATTGAGACTGGAACAAACAAGCTTTCCTTACTTCTTTGTAAATGCTTAGATTAGAAGAACAGCAGTAGTACTTGATTTTCTGACTTTGCTGTGGTAATTGCACCTAGGGTATCTGACTGTCTTGGAAGCAGCAATAATTTAATTCTTGCAGAACCCTTCAGATTTAGGGGAAATGCCCTCTTTTGCACACTCATTTTTGTGAGATGTACAGAGAGACTATGGAGGAGGAGTCACAGACGCTAACTTCTTTTAATTTCAGTGGGAGTTATGTTGCTAAATATCTGTATGAATCAAGTCCTAACTGATTTACTTGGGGTCATTTGGGAATTGAAGTAGAACAAAAGTAAAAGCTGATTTCCTTAGTCGTAGCCTAATAGTCTCTTTGTCGTAATCTAATCCTTTCTGTTCTTTTCTTACGCTCCTGGTTCACAAGGATTTCTGTCGTTCTCAGGAACAGAATCTGAAAAAGCCTCTGTGTGTCTGTGTTACAGGTATCTGCTGGGTCAGCCAGGCTAGCTGCCTACTTGTAGATACTGAGGAGTTTGAATATAACCATTTCTCAATTAATTCAATGAAATCACAAATAATTAAGACCTTTCATGTATGTTCGTGGGGTTTTTTTTATAGCCAGTATTTTTTCTATCAGCTTTTCAGTATGTCACCTTTCTATAGAAGGCAGTGATGTAACTGATCATTTGTAGTGTTCTTGTAGAAATGTGTATGAAAACATCAAAGTGAATAGAACTCTAGGTTATTGGAATAGTGACCCTGACACTATTAAGCAGATGATATCTCTGATCAATTAAATTATTTAAATTTATTTCTGTGGTTAGATACCAGAACTTGGTGGTTAGTAATTTGTTTAGATTTTTTTTTCCCTGGTTCAGATACTAATTTCTTGAGGCTTCAGTATGAGCAGTTTCTTTTTAAAAATATTCCTTTAAAGTTACATTTTCTTTTGTATTCCTGAGCTGCTGCTGCTGCTTTCTCTCAATCCTGTCTTTGCAGATGTGCAATGCTTTGAGACCAGAATACCCAAGATACCCTTACACTTATTATTATCCCTTTTTTTTTATGTTGCAGCCAACGGTTTTCACATCACTGCCTACTTTATGAAGAGATGGGTTAATCTCCGTTGTGCTGCAGGGAAACATTATCATGGTAAGAAATCAGTTTCTTATAGTGTTACTTAGAATTTTGCATTTTTGGGAGTTAAAAAAAGGAAAATAAACTAATACTTTGTCAGATTTTGGTCTACTTACTCAAAATTTCTTTCAGAACTTGATTTTGTTTTTTTTCCAGAGGATGTTTGCTAAAAAAAAGAGTAGTTTTCTTAACATATGGTGGATTTTTTTTTTTTAAATTTAGTTTTAAGTTTGTGTATGCCTTGCCCCAGGGTAATCAGCTAAGCCACACCAAATTCTGTAAGTATGATGAGACTCAGCATTTTACTGAGTCTCTGCAGGGTGAATCAACCAGAGGTTGCAGTATGAATCACTTCATTATTACTTGAGTGTCTTGTGACATCAACTGTACAGTACAAGTGTATGCAAGAAAAGACTTTCATTCACCTCAATGCTATAAAATCTTTACGTAGGTGATGTCATTAGACCAGATATTTTTTTAATGTTTTTTCAAGCCAAGATGCTCTGTAAGGAAGTGATATCAATCTTGTCCTGCCAACAGAAATAAAAAGGAGCTATAAAGATCACTGCCCTTTGTGTTGAGCTTTTCATATTTAAAAAAGCCAAAATAAATCCATTAGGTGCCCTTAAAAATACTGAATACTTGAATGAATATTTTAAAATATTTTTTTAATAGGTATTCATTATATTCTTAAATATGTAAATCTCTTCAAATGCAAACTAGTTGTTTTCTAAGTCCCTATGGGTTGAAGAGATTGGGGTGCTAATTTTAAATATTTGATCAAACTTGTTCTGCCAGCCCCTTGGAAGAATAGTTAGAATAGAATAGCAGTGTGTCTGCAATGGTTTCTCAACCTTGCCTTCTGTGTACTAAATTTGATGGGTTTTTAAGCATCAATACCTAAAGATACTTCCATTTTGTTAGCCAGCACGTGAGATTGTTAAAAAATGTAACAATAAAAATGTCTAACTGGAATGAACTTGCCCTACTAGTGCTGCCAAAAAAGAGAGGCTCCGATGCTGCAGTCAAAACTTTGCATCCACGTGAAGTTCTTGACAAGAAAGGAACTTCATTTTGCTGGGTTTCACTCCCAATAAATAGCATAATAAGCACATACCCTAAAAAAAATTAAAAAAAATAAAAATTTGGCGTCAATGTTTCCTTTCTGTAAGATACACTTAGTACTTCACAAACAAAAAGCATTGAGCCTCATAGAAGAAGAATCTTGCATACTTCCATTGGTGATGCTCGTTCAATAAAGTTACCCAAGAGGCTGTTATTGGAACCACACTTAACAACTTCAGTCCTTACAACAACTGTCCAGCTTTTCTTTTGCAGCCCATTTGGAAGTTGTCCGTAGACTGCTCGCAGTTTGAAAGCTGTTGTACTAGAACTCTGCAGGTGGCTTTTCAGGTCTCGAGGATACAAGTAGAGAAAGAATAGTCTGGACATAAGGAACAGCATGAGTACTTCCTTGGATGCAGTTTTGCTAACAGAATTGATATCTCTGAAAGGATTATGAAAGACTCATAATCATTATCAAGTGATAGTAGCTTATCAAGCTGTTGTGCCAAAATAGGTGCAGCTGAGGTCTGTGTGTACACTTTTTCAACCAATGACAATTGCAAGATCATCTGTTTCAACATCCCCATCTTTTATTGTAATGACTCTCAAAAAGTCGCTGCTAGTGTGCAGTCAGAGGGTTTGTCAGATCCTAATGGAGATGTGCTGTTGGTGAAGAAGCAGTACCTTGTAGAGAGACAGTCACCCAAAGGGATGACCTGATTGTCACTGGCAAATTGTGCGTATCATGCCTACACTCAATTCATTGGGAGGAGATATTCTACCAAAAAAAAAAAAACCCAAACCTATCAGGTCAACCTCTTGGTTTTTTTCTGTATGCCTTGTCTTTCTTGGCCCAGAAAATAGGGTGTTACAGCTTATTTTTTTAAAATATAACAAAATTTAAAAATTAGTTACTCTCTTTTTATAAAACCAAACCAAAAATTAAAAACAAAAAAATTTGAGCTGAAAATATGAGAATAGTAGTCTGGAAATTATCTGATATAGAAAATAACAAAATATCCAGCTATGCTCTTTTCATAGCATTGCTAAATACTGAATAAAGCTTTGGTCTGTTCTCACCTGGGAACCCTTAAATTTTTAATCCTTTGTAAATAAAAACTTTGTTGTGTTCATAACAAACCATGTGATCTTGAATAAAATATATAATTTGGTAGTAGTTAACCAATTTGTTTAATGACTTAAAAAATCACTCTAGTCAGAGTTGTAAACACTTAGCCTATGCAGAGTTTTTATGCCAAGTCCTGATTGGATATTTTCTGCTGTCTTACAAACATAATTTACAGCTTTTGTGATGAAAAGACTCATCATCAGAATAGCACAAAAGAAATCATCGTTAAGTGGTTTGTTTGTTGATTCTGTCTGGTATATTTGTCCAGGGATGCAGATGGACTAATTTGCAGCCATGACTATATACTCTTGGGAACTAAACTTACTCTGACTTACTGATTTTTTTTTTAATGGTTTAAAAAAGCAAAACAAAACGAGGGATGGGGTGTTGAAGAGAGTAGGTAAGAAACTAGTGGGATGTATGAAGTGAGTTAGCGTGCAATTTAAAAAATAAATTATTTTGTTTAGTAAAATAACATGTATCTATGTTGTCATTATTGTGTGGTTTTGAATATGGTTGTAATTTTTGTAATCTTCTTTTCAATTATTTTTATATAGAGCTACGTGTGTTTCCAGACAGATTTATAGTTTGTGTCAGTAAACTTGAATGTGATCCAAGTGCTTGGACATGTGAAAATGATGTATTGGTATGTATAAAACTGTTCTATAAATTTTCTGGTTTATTTTAGAGTGGTAAGATAGTAAGATGGTTTACATATAGATGTAGTTATACACATATTTGTGACTGTCATCTTGGAACCAGAAAGAGTCACGCTAACAGTTGGGCCAAAGTATTCAAAAGAACATCCTGAAATGAGTCTCAGGCAGATAAAAATGGGAATTTTTGGAAGCTCAGCGTTTTCTGAGCCGTATAGGGCTCAGAGAAAAAGACCATGTATTTAGAAAACTAGGTATGATTTTAGCACCTTGATTTAAGGATCTTTGTTTCCTTTATATTTTATCCTTTTAACATTTTACTTTCCAAAATTATAATGGAGAAGTTTTTAATGTCTATATGTTTCTGTATTGTTTTCTCAGCACTTGTTCTGCAAAACAACTCCAATGGTAAAAAAAAAATCCCCAAACATTTATGGAGAAAAAGGCATTAAATACCATAAACAATTCTACTTAAATATTTCATCCCGAAGGCTTTATCAGGGTCAAAGGCTTATGAATTTTATGCTGCGGTTAACTGCTGATAGTCTCAGGAGTGCTCACACTGGCCCAGGTGGCCTGCTGTATGGCCGGCACTCTCTTCTGTGCTCACAGTAGGAGTCAGAATTACACGCCGAGGTCTCTGTAAATTTTAGTAGTTCATCTTAGATGTATTAAAGTATATTTGACCCTTGAAAAAAAGTTTTTTCTTCTACTCATTCAACTTAGTATTTTTTTAATATCAAGCAGGGTGTTTGTATTTATTATACTAAATGCAGGTTTTATTATCTTGATTCCTAGATTGGTAAGTATCCTTAAATGTCAAAGGATCAAGCAAATGTTTTTCTCTCTCAGAAAAAAAAATCTAACTGTTTTACTGCTATTTTGAAAATTACTATTTTCTTGGTATTGTCTTGAAGGCTATTCAGATGGTTTAAGTAGTAAATCCTGGCTTTGCATTTTGACTTAGAAATAATATTTGTAAATTTTTTTTCTTGTTTCCCTATCTCTCAAGAGATATCCAGTTCCCCTCATTGTTATTTTTAATCTTTCCATAAAATAAAAGATGAGAAGTTTTCTTTAGTTAGCTTCACATGATTCTATCTAGTAAGAAGAAGGCAAATGAAAAATATAGTGTTACGGACTTTAGCTTAACTATTTCAAAGTTAGCTCTTGATCTATGGAAATGCCTTGTTTTTTTAAAAAGGGGTTTAAATATTTTTATGTTAAAAGAAGAATCTCTTAGTGGGATCATAATCTAATCAATAATAAAGTCTTGGGAGTTTGCTTTACTTACAGATGCAATAACATGTGCGTAGGACTGGCTGGAACGCTCAATGTAGTATGTTGGTAGGAGAGAATAAGATAAAGTTATCCCTAAGCCATCCTTCCTGATTTGAAGAGCTAACAAGTTGTGAACAGACCCTCCGCAGATATTTTGGAGTATTTTTTTGATTCTTGCCACTCTAACTTAAAGGGTCCACTCCAGACTGTTTTGTTGATCCAGGATTTGTATAGCACCTTACTACTGAATTTGTCCTGCACTCTAGTTCAGTACTTTGCCAAACTGAGGGAGTGTTTGATTGCCACTGAGAGGTAATTTCAAGTTTTTGTCACTCCAGAAGTGAAGGCTAAGGATCTGCACTTTGTGTGTGTACTTTTCTCTATCTAATTTAGCAGTGAGCATGCTTGACCTCTAAACTAGACTACAAAAGACCACCCAGAAGACCTTTCCGTTGATATACTCCAGTGTATTCTGTCATGGGCTAAAAATGAGGCATATGTTTTGTTTTCATCTATGTTGTTTGGGTTTGAGTAATTTCATAATATTGCATGCAAGTTCTTTTAAATGTTTAATCAGCTCACAGCCTTGGTTTTGAGGGACTATCTGTGTTTTATAAAAGTGGTTGACTATATGTTAATGGAGACTTTGTCACTTTTCAGTGTTGCTTAGTGGCAATGCAATTGACTTAGTCAAGACTGAACAATCTTTTTTTTTATTTATTAACTGCTTTTATGGTGTCTTATGGTTTGGGTCAAGCTTTCATTCCTCAGCTGTATCAAGACAAGTCCTCAATGCAGGCTCAGTGCCTTGCTTTCCCTTTACTCAGAACCAGTTTTATGTCAACCTGATACAGACACATTTCTCCCACTCACTGCAACTCTCTTTCTTCACCTATCTTCAGCACTTTATTCTTTGCATTTTCACTGCCTTTTAGGCTGTTCTCTGTATCTCTGAAATAGACTGGGATTAAATCAAGAGTTTCAAGAGATGTAGCCCTTGAAATGAAATTCCTATGTCCTACATAAGAATTAGGACCACAAAGATGATGAGGGGCCTGGAGCATTTCCCGTATGAGGAGGGGCTGAGAGAGCTGGGACTCTTCAGCCTGGAGAAGAGCAGACTGAGAGGGGATCTGATCAATGTCTATAAATATCTGAAGTGCAGGGGCCAAATGGATGGGGCCGGACTCTTTTTGGTGGTGGCTGGTGACAGCACAAGGGGCAACAGGCACAAATTAGAGCACCAGAAGCTCCACACAAACTTAAGGAAAAACATGTTTACTGTGAGGGCACCAGAGCCCTGGGACAGGCTGCCCAGAGAGGTTGTGGAGTCTCCATCTCTGGAGATGTTCAAAACCCGCCTGGACGCTTTCCTGTGCAACCTGGTGTAAGGAACCTGCTTTGGCAGGGGGGTTGGACTAGATGATCTCCTGAGGTCCCTTCTAACCCCCACCATTCTGTGAGTCTGTGACACATCTTAGGAAAGATCATAATTAGATTGCTTATGAGATATTCAGAAGCACAAACCTTAGCATCAATTACCAAGAGAAGCAATTTGAAGCTTTCTGTGATGCATCTTGTAAGAACAAGGAAAAAGTGGCTTAGGCAGCCTCTGTCAAGTTGGCTTTAAGCTTAAAATAATAAAACGTTTGAGAGCACTTCTAAGTAGTAGAGCTCAAATAAAATTGATAGTAATTTTCTGTTTTCTAAAATCTATTTAGAAATAGGTATTCCTGTGGTCATAGCTAAAAATCAGGCTGCAGGCAGTAATAATCATTTTGGAAGAAGGGAAATCTCTATTAAAGAAACCATACAGCAAGTTATTGAAAATACATAGGCAAACTGGAAGTCTTAAGGAAAAGATGGAAGAATAGCCTGGCTGGTTAATTTTAAGTTTAAACATAAAACCATTGTTTCCTGTTTTGCCAAACTGAGTTTGTAATCTTGAATAGTTTTATCTTGTAAAAGAAGACAGTTTTGGGAACGTGGCAAAAGAGGAAACCCAGGGAAATATATAAAAGCTCTGGAGAGATTAGTCACCTTTGTCAATGACGACATTTTCTTGATGATTATTATGTAGAGAGCTAAAATGGAAAATTGGAACTGGGTTATCTGAAGAAAGAGTGGAAATGGAAATGGGTGGAAGGCTTATTGGAGGCTTGTGGGCATTTGAAAATGTGCTAACAATGGAGTATTCATTGATAACCACTTTGGCTTTATAGTAGAATCTAAGAGAGGAAGCAGTTGTAGGAAAAGCATGAAGAAGGTTAAGCTAATTATGATATTAAAGTGGAAATATGAAATTACCATTCACATGAAATCAGAAAAGAAAGTGGGGAGTAGGAGATCCTGTCTTGATTAAAAAGATCTCAGGGTTTCGACTGACTGAACCTTGTTAAGTTGCAGAGACTATTAAACAAAAGTAAAGATTCTTTTCCAAACAGAATATGACTCTTAAAAAACCAACCAAACAAAAAAACCCCTCCTAGGTACACAAGGAGAAGGGAAGTGCTAAAGATATGCCCAGTGCTTTTTAAATCCCCAACAGAGAAATAAAAGCACACTATTTCATCTTCTTTATACATGTTTGATTTTATAAATTGTGTCATTGTGACATACTTGAGGTACATTAGAGAATTCTCTTTCTTAAAATTCCTAAGAGCATAAATGACATGATTTGCTCGGATTTTGATTATGTGAGGAAGAGGCTTCTGGTTCTTGCATGAAAACATGTACACTTAGCTGTAATTAACAAGAGGCTTTTTAACATTAGAGTATGTGCTGCTGGAATAGTGTGCCCATTGGAAGGTAAAATGAAAACCTTTTTCAATTTGTAAAGATTAGTAGAAGACTTTATGTGGAATTTTGTTATCTTAAATACTTTAAAGACTATTTTATTGTTAAGTGATACCAGATTGGATAGGGGAAGAAGGAAACTGAAATGCAGTTACACAATTCACACTGTGTAAGTGCTAATCTTGGCATGGAACTGTGTGTCTGTGTGTGTGTGTGTATATATATAAATATATAAATATCACAGTTAAACTGCTGTAATGGTGGGCTACTACTGAAAAGGTCAGTCCACATCCCCTCTAGTTCCAGCTACATATTCCTTTCCTTTCTGGTTACCAGAGTGGACCAAGTGATTCTTCAGTTGAGAATGAATTAGTTCATTGACTTGATCCAGCAGAAAATTATTTGTTTGTGAAGTTTCTCTGGTTTGGTTTTTTTTTTAATTGGAGGATTAGTTTTCCATCGTGTCAGTTCACTGAACCAACTCATCAGCACACAGCCAGGATTTGGATGAATAGAGCAGGACCACTCGTTTAGGTTGCAGCTGATAGTTACACCATTTTGGAAGTAACATCCAAAACACATGTTCATGTTGCTTTTGTTGTAATATTTGTCTTGGTTTTGATGGTTTTCAACTTCATTATCCTTTTTTAAATTTCATAAAATATAGTTTTCATGTGTTTCAGGTAATGTGCTTGTTTGCAAGACTGATGATACTGAAGCATGTGTTCCTGCCTTCTCTTAGCCATACATTCTTGTTCTCAGTGTCTGTCAGTACTGGCATGTGTGGAGCTGGGATCAATTAATTGATCTCTCGGAAAACAAGTCGGATTTTTTGGTTTGGGTTTTTTTGTTGTTTGCATTCTTAGCTTTCAGCTGGATCACTTGGGTCTGACTCTCACTGCGTGGCTGCATA